GTTTTGCATCAAGGAATTCAAGTGTTTGATCAATCAATAGATTAGTGTGATCCTCAACATCTCAAGCTCCTCAAATCATGCTTAGTGATTAATAGATTATATCCATCAATAATCAAGTTCAAGTTAGCATCAATTCAAGTTCATCAAGCTTTAATCCACCATGTACTGCACATTAGGGTTTTGGTCAAAGTCATTTTGATGTTGACTTTTTGACCAAAACATGATCCCATGGATTAGAATGTTATTCAAAGGATTAAAATGTATCATTTTAGTCCATTCATGTGATTAAATTGGCTCAAGAAGTTGGATTCATTGGTGGTTGAAGAATTTTGGTTCAACTGATGAAAAGTCAATAGATGCTCAAAGTCAAAGTTTGATTTTTGACATTTTTGATCAACCATAGACTTCTCAAGTTAGGAATCATGAAAATATAGAAAAAAAAATAGAGTTTTATCAAGTTAAATCAAGAAAAATATCAAAGTTGTCAAAATTGAGAAACTTAGAATTTTTCTAAGTACAAAATTGCATGTTCGTGAAGGTGACTTTCCAATGTCATAACTTCTTCCTCAAACATCCATTTTAAGCAAACAAGGACTCCAAATAAAGATTTCATGGCATAATACATCATGGTGAAGAGTTTAAATCTAAAGTAGTTCCACAATTCATTCAAGATTATGGCAAAGTGAGGTGTCAAAGTTGTGAAATTGCTTAACACTTAGAATTTTTTCTAAATGTCAAACAATCTCAACTTCTCTTTTTCCTGGACAATTTTTCTCCATGATCTAAAATGATACAAAGGAAGTGACCAACATCAATGTTGAAGTACATAATTACCTCTTTCCATTGATACCAAGAGCATGAATTTTGATGACTTAAGCATGAAGTTATGTTGATAGAAATGTGCCATGGTGAAGATGTTTCATATGGCAGATTCTAGATCATAACAAACTTGTCTTGCCACACATTGACCAAGGTAAGGCAAAGTCATTGTTGATCTGATGCATATCAGATGTGAAGGCATTCCACAAGAGGTTAAAACCTCAACCTCCAAGAATTACCCATTTGGTGTTACAAGAAGCATGTGACATAAAGTATCTTTACCATATTTATTCTTCAAATCTAAAACTTGTTGATTAAGTTTGAGAGAATCAAGAGACCTCTGCAACACCAATCATCAATGTAAACTCATCCAAACTCCAAGTCCATTCTATTAGCCACGAACAACTTTCTAAAACACCAATCATCAACACAAACTCATCCAAACTCAGAATCACCTTGTGCCATAACTTGAAAAACTCCATTAAAGCCGTTTTTTCGGATTTCACTCATCCTCCACTTTCCTTCCATTTTCCCCCACAAACACTTTCCATAAACCTCATATAACTTGTATGCATTAAACATGACCTGTAACCCCTCCAACTCCATAACCAAACTTTATTTCTTCAATTTGCAAGTGGATTCTACCAGAACAGTTTAGAAGGTTTCAAGTGATTCTAAACACACCATTGCACTCCTGGGAACTCAAGAACGCTAGAGGGATCTTCATTTCTCATTTGGAAGTGCATTTGAAAGTGTAACAGACACACTTTGTTTGATAAAATTTTCATGTTCCAAACTTTGTCATTTAAGCATCATTTTCACTCATTCTTGTTACCATTATGTTAGTTTTGACATGAGGAATGAAACCCCTAAGCTATTGTCCATTGATTGTTGATGTATGTCATTTAATTTTTGTTTGAAATTTTATGGTTCATGTTGTTTTGTCCAAAATTCGTGAGTTTGAGATAAAATAAATAAAACTAAGGGAATATTTGGATTCCTTGTGAAATTTTAGGCAGAATAGTGTATCTAATGTCCCATTTGGTAAAAAAATGAGGAAGTTGCATTTTCTTTGAAATATAAAAGTTATTGTAACATCACGAGGAAGAAGATAAAGTTTTGTGATTTTATTTTTATTTTTAAATTTTGTTTTAATATATTTTATGTTGAATGCTCATTCTGACTTGCAGGCCAACCTTGGCGTGTTGGTAAGGTTTGTGTTTCGTAATCTCAGGGTTCCGGATTCCACCCTCCTTGGACTCATTTTTCACCTTTTCCCCTTATTTTTCCTTCTTTTCCTCTCTTTCTCTTTTTCTTAATTTTTTATTTTTTATTTCCTTTAGTTTTTTTTAGTAAATTTCATTCTATGTCAACATTTTAAAAAAACTCAAAAATATTTTATTAATCATTTATTTATTTTCATATTATATTATCACATTTAAAATTAAAAAATGCTTAGTATTTTTATTTAAATATTTATTTTATTATTCTATATTGATTAAAAAATCCAAAAAAATATTTATTCTCTTTTTTTAGGGTTTCTTTTTATTTATTTTGAGTATACTTTGATTTTATTTTTAAAAATACTTTGATTAAGTAGTTTGTGCACTTTAATTCTATTATTGACTTTGCCTTATGATGAATCCATGTTATGTTCATGTTTGTTCCAAGATGATTGATGTTTAAACTTTTGATGTCTTGATAATAATACTTTGTTAATGATAATACCTTGTCTTTGCCATGAGTATGTCTTGATTAAATTTTGTGAAAATGATTCTTGAACCATTGTGGGGGTGTGACTTAAGTGGATTAATATTTGATTTTGATTAGGTTGTTAGGGTTCTTGTCTTGATGGATATGATCTTATTTGCTTGATGCTTGGCATTAATGTTTATATGTTTGTCTTGATGTTGAAGTTCTTACAATGTTTAGGGTGATTTTAGGGTTTGTTTTAGAAATAGACATTCATATGATTTAAAACTCTAATATTTTGAACTACTTGTTTGAATAATGATCTTTGTCATATGTGACACCATGTCTTGATGCTTACTTTGTGCTTAAGTGATTATCTTTATAATGCATGTTTTACTTGATACATCTTTGTGACCTTTAATTTGCTACCTTTCATGTTGTTTATGTTTAAGTCCAAAGACAATGACTATGGTTAATTTTGTAGTCTTGTGTATGTCCCTTATATACCTTGATGTATCCCTCACTCTTATGTGTAATCTTGTTCATATTATTCATGTTAGAATAGGAATTAATACACTAACTCTAAATCTACAAAATATTAGACCAAACTTTCAAGATCAAAAAGGACTTTGTCAACACTAAGATTCATTTTCAAAAACATTGGTCCAATGTCAGTTGATCACCATTTTAAATCCTTTCCATTAACAAAATCCTTTTTAAACTTATTCTTGATTCAACATCAAGTCCCCTTTAAAACACCCAACTCGAAAGTGGTTGCTTCACGCATCGCCATCAACCTCTCTAATCATTTTCAAACCCTTTCATAATTATAAATAAACCTCGATCAACATCGAGCGTATTTTCTTAATAAAAACTTTGACCTATGTCATAACAATGTTAAAACTATTTCCCTAGTAAATACGAAAGAAGATGACTGTTGGAATCTAGCATTCTAGCAGAATTCTTGAATGGTTGGCCTTAAGTCTTGCATTTTGGGATGGTCGGTCATTCTTTTCTTTTGATTCCTTAAAACATCTAATATCAAGTTGGACAAATAAGGACCATTGAAATCTAGAATCTTGGCATAACTCTTTGAACAATTGATTATCATCAAGAGTTCATTGTCCATCAAACAATTTTCTCAATTAATCTTGAATGAATAATGGTCGCTGGAATCTTGCATTATGGCGTAACTATTTGAATGTTTGATTATCATCAAATGTCATTCACCTAAAATACATTCAATCAATTAAATTATTTTTCTCGCCGTCGTGTGATCCTTTAAACATTTTCATAAATGTGAGATATTGTCTCTTGAGATGACGCAAAAGATTCTTTCATCCATAAACTATTTCAGTTGAGATAAGAGGCGTTTCCTGCAAATGTTGATTTGCAAATCCATTCTGTTGTGATGCAAACGTTCGCTCCTCACCTATTTTGGGGTAAAATAATATTTTCTGTCGAATGCGACTAAATATCTTTTGCTAAAATCAATCAACAAACAAGCATTTTTATCCATAACTACGGACACTTTGATTTCTCATTTATCAATGAGAATACATAAGCACAAGGGTCTTAATCCTTGGCGAGCCACCTTTCACCTTTTTCACTGTAGTCCCTGAACTACGAAGGCTCTGAGTTCCTCATTGCACTATGAGGATACGTAGGCACGAGATTGCAAAGTCTTGTCGAACCCATTAGTAATAAACCCTTAGGTCCCCTTTCTCTTTAATAAAAATCTTAAAATATTTCTCTGTCTCTCCTTTCCCAACTCAATAAGCAGAAGATTAGAAACTAACTTTAGTTAACATACATCCGACCTTAACTAAATGGTTTCCGTTGAGTACAACAGACGTGAGGGGGTGCTAATACCTTCCCCTTGCGTAACCAACTCTCGAACTCAGATATTGGTTGCAATTACCATATCCTTATCTTTCTTTTAGGGGTTTTATTCGATATTTTTCCTTTCCCTCTACGGGAATAAATAAAGGTTGATGGCGACTGTGTTAAGTCCATCCTGTGAGCGTGCAATTGTGATTTGCGAGATTATTCTCATTTTTCGAGATACGACAATATCCATTAAGCTACCTGCCTCATATTTACAGATATAGATTTTTTTTTCATCTCTAATAATATACGTTGTTTATAACTTAAAAATAAATACAATGTTGCCCCAATAAAATTTTAAACATAAAAAAGAATAAAACCCACCTAACACACATAAATTCTTGCTCATCATTCACCATTTCCATTCAAAATTCCCAACCCAATTTTTATCAAAATAAAATAAAAGGAAACCAATTTAAAAATTCTAAACAAAACAAACAACAATTTATTATAATCCATAAATAAATCCACAAGTTCTCATTTGTGAAAATAAATCACAAGCAAGCAATAAAAGTATATAGTAATTTAAAGAAAAAACAAAACATCACTCAAATGTGTTATACAACACATGAATGCATTTGGAACTTTCACTAAACTTGAATTTAGACATTTGATTTGAAATGCATGACATCTTCAATTAACTTCAACATGTTGAGATAAGAAGAACCACCTTCTTCAATTGCTTTCTTTCCCATATCAGCATACTTCTTAGCTCTTTCTCTCCGCTCAGTTTTCCCTTCCCCTTCCCCCATCACCATCTCTATAGCCTCTTTAACCTTTTCCCTACTCACTTGAACACCATCATCAAACTCATCTTCATCTCCAAAGTTCACAGCATTTTCAACTCCCAACCTCACACCAGTCTCAATCACTTGTACAACCAACTTCTCATTGTAAAATTGATCAGAAAACATAGGAAATGTTACTAATGGTACACCAGCACAAATAGCTTCCAATGTTGAATTCCATCCACAATGTGTCAAAAAGGCTCCTATTGATCTATGTGACAATATCAAAACTTGTGGTGCCCAACCTCTAACCAAAATTCCTCTCCCTTTCACCCTCTCTTCAAATCCATCTTCTAATAGCCACTTTTCCACTTCATCCCACTTATATGATTTTCTCACCACCCAAATGAATGGTCTATTGGTTGCTTCTAACCCTAAACCAATTTCTATCCATTGTTTAGGTGTTACGCGATTAAGACTACCGAGACAAACATAAATCACTGATTCTCGAGGCCTTGAATCAAGCCAATTCACATATTCATTTGCATCAATTGTTAAATTCTTACCCCCTCTTTGAGATTTTTCTATATCATCTTTATTCGATAATGAAACAGGACCAACACACCATACCTTACGTCCGGTAACTCTTTGATACTCTTCGACGTAACCATCTTCCAACTCTTCAAAACTATTCACCACTATCCCATATGCTTCATCTTCTGAATCATGTATTCTTTGACGCAAACTATTCAACAACTCGTTTGGACCGGGCCTAAATACCATAGGAAGTTGAGATTTTTTCATTGTAATTTCATGTGGCAATCCAGGGATAACAAATTGATCAGAATAATTGAGAGATTCAGAAACCCCAGAAGTATGAATACTGTAATTGCAAAAGAGGTTCAAGCAATTAGTACCATCAAATATTATTCTTGGAATTTTGAACTTGATAGCTGTATCAGCTAGAGATGGAATATGCTTATCAGCTATTAAGCAACTTGGAAATGGTTCTAGCTTTTCAAAAAGCTCTTCTATTGGCTTCTGCAGAAGATTTACAGCTATTAGGAAATTTCCTTTGAGATCCATTGAAGGAAGTGTTTCTAGGGTTTCACATCCCATTGGAATTCCAGCTTCCTCATTTGGAAATTTCACTTCTAGAAGTTGGATTGGTGAACCTAATTCAATCTCTTTATTGATGTTTGTTTTGAATTGAATTGCATTGAGGGGTGTGGTGATTATGGTTACCTTCACTTTATGCCTAGCCAATAACTTGGCCATGTCAACCATGGGAAGAATGTGACCTGGTGCGAGGAAAGGGATGCATAGAATGTGGAGTTTGCTAAGTGATGATGTTGAATCCATTGCTAGGTTTTGTGTCATTTTAGATTGCAAATTTCAATTTATGGTTTGAATGATTCATGCTTTGATATATAATACACCTGAGGAGTTGAGTATTGTGATTTTTTTAATACTAAAATAATATTAATGTTCTAGACAAAAATATAAAATATTAATATTAATGTTATTTTAATTAATATAAATTTATTTATAATAAATATGAAAGGAAATGATGAACATAGAAAATAAATTTATTTGATGTTAATGATATTATAATCTAAATTAACAGAATATACTATTTAGTTTCTATAATTTAATATCAAATACATTGAATTCTGTAAACAAAAAAAATATACATTGAATTCAAAATGAAAAAGCTTGACACTATGCATGAACTTTAGGCTAGAATACTTACAATTAAATTCCATAATTTTTGCAATTCTTCGTTTAGGGGATAGATTGATAGAAAATGCTAGAAGGTTGTAGATGCCTATTTACTTTAGTTTTTAATATATATATATATATATATATATATATATATATATATATATATATATATATATATATATATATATATATATATATATATATATATATATATATATATATTCGATCAAAGAACAGGCACAAGAGGTGCAAAAAAAATTATATTCCGAAGCTTGGAGCACAAAAATAAAAACAAAAACTACCGAAAGCCATAGGAAAATATTGAAAAGGGAGCAAATTTCAATAAAAACACTGACTCTACGAAGCTTGGAGCGTCATACTCAGAATCAACAGACCATAGAAACCACAACAACACTGAAGGCATTTAAAGAACAAGCACAAGAGGTGCCAAGAAAACAGAAGAATAACTTAAATTAAATCACAAAATAAATACAAAAATCACCGAAGGCCGCCTGCTCGAAAACTATTGAAAAGGAAGCAAAATCCAAAAAAAAAAAAAAAATACTCACTCTACGAAATACCACCTAATTGAATACAGGGGCGGTCCAATTAATCCGAGAGTCTCAATCAAACTTAAAAAGATAAAGTTTTATCTATCCATTTAAAAAATGTTGGATTACTTTACCCAATTTTGCTGAGATTTTTTTTAGGAATGACAATTGGAAAAGGTTTGAACAGAATATTATAGTGTTGCACCCCAAATTTGTCCTACCTTTACATAGTTTCTAGTGCCACTTTATTTTGAATGAATAAAATTGCACAATTGACAAGAGACTGTGTGTAAGGAGTTGTAAGTGTGAGAGGTCAAGAGTTCAAATCTCACCTTCTTCACTTTTTGTTTTTCTTTTATTTTTATTCTAACTTTTCTATTTTTATAAAAAAAATAACAAAATAGTTTTTTTTTATTATTTAATTATTATTTTCGTATTTTATTTAAATTATTTTTTAAAAAATATTATTTTTTCACTTTTTTCCATATTATTCATAAAAACATCAAAAAATCATAAAATTAAAAATATTAGAAAAGATTTTATTCTTTTAAGTTTGTTTTAGTTTGTTTTTTTAGTTTTGACTAATTCTTTAAGTTGGACTTTAAAATAGGCATTAGGTTAGAGATAACCCTAATTTGTTACCTATATAAACATGAGTTGCATTTGAGAAGGAGACAAAGGAAAAAACGGCGGCCGTTCTCACGACTTATCAGAAGAGGAAAGCGTCAGCAAATCCACCAAACGGCGCAAAACCACCGCGAACCGCTTTGAACCCCGAACGAGGTGAGCAGTTCTTTTTGTCAATAAAAAAGTTTTTCTGTTGTTTTCAGGTGGAACAAACCGAAGAAGAAGGAGAGAAATCGTTTCCGGCCATGCAAGAATGGAGCAAATCTCAAAGGAGCTGCAACGACGCTGCCACCGTGATGAAGAAGAAGATGGGGTTTCTAAAAACCTAAAGATTGAAATGCTTCAGGGTGAAGCCTACTTTTCCCCTTTTATTTTTTTTATATTTTTTATTTTTCCCTTTTTTATTTTTCTTATTCTTATTATTATTATTATTATTATTATTATTATTATTATTATTATTATTATTATTATTATTCTAATTTTCTTTAAATTGTAATTATGTCATAATAAATGGTTAGTTTAATTAAAAAATATTTGCTAGTTAAACCTTGTTTTAAAACTCTGTCCTTATAATAAAAAAAATTAAAACTGTTTTTTATTAAAACTAAAACTTCTTTTTTTAAAAAATTTAAATTGAATCCTTTTAAAAAAAATTAAAACTAAAACATTTTTATTAAAAACCATTGTTTCAAAATTAAGATTAAATTTCTTTTTTCAGAAATTAAAAATAAAGTTTTTCAAAATTAATAAAATAATAAATTTCCAAATTGCATTTTCTTTCTTTCATTATTAATTGCTTTATTATTTGTCATTGATTTCCGCCTAACTTTTTTTCACTAACGTTCTCTATTTGTTTTCCGCTAGGTTTTAGTCGGTCTCCAATTATTATTAATTAAATATTTCTTTATCATATTCGTAATTTGTTCCATGGATGTAATTTACGCGAGGCCATGGTCGCGGTTTATTTTATTTTGCATTTTTTGGGGATTTGTAATTTACGCGAGTGATCGTCGCGACGCTTTCTTTACTTTCTGCACTTTATTTCTGCCATATAATATTTTGCCATGTTTTGCATGATTTAGCGGTATATTCCTTCCGAAGGATTAGGTCTAGCCGTTTGACCGCCGAGTTAATGACCCTAACGTTTGACCATTTCAAAACCCTAATCGCCTAGGTGTCCCGCCGTGGACGAAAATACCCTTTACCCTAGCATTAGGTTAAAGAGTCGCCGTACTCTGTTTTAGGGTTTCCCGCCGTGGAATATTTAATTTAACCCTAATTTCAATTAACAATTTCAACATAGAAATAGGAGTTTCAAGACTCCACATAGGCGCTTCCCTATGAACGCTTACTCCCCAATGAAACCTTGACCACAGTCAAGACGTTTCTAACCTCCCTTTCGAGGGGAACTACAATTACTCTGATTCCATTCCCGTCAGGATATGTAGGCACAAGATGCGACGTCTTGCCGAGTAAACTTAGAACTAACCGTTAGCTCTTTTAGGTCACTCTATCCCTTAACAATATATTTCAAACAGATAATAAAATAAAAAAGCATACAATAAACAAAAGGTTCCTGTAGAGTACTACAGAAGTTTAGGGTGCTAGTATCTTCCCTAAGCTTAACCAACCCCTTACCTAGATCTCTCCCCGCATTGTCTTTACGATGCAAAATTAGGTTTTCCTCTTTTGACCTTTTCCTTCGCATAAATCAAAGAGCGGTTGTGAACCAAAGATGCGATTCAAATTAATTAATAATTTGATATCATATTCTAACCGCAACAGAAAATGGCGACTTCACTGGGGACCCTCCTAATTTTTAAGGGTTACCCCTATTTTGTTTATTGTATGATATTTTATTAATTATTTTTATATATCATTGTACCTTTTGGGGATACCTGTTATTGTGAGATAAGTCCTAACCCGGATTTGAGTGACCTTATTATAGGAAGGTGAGATATTCGACGAGGCTTGCCGGGAGTGAGTCCCGACCAAGTCAACTCGAGAATCACCGCTCAGTTGAGACCCTTTCGAAAATGGTTCGGTTGATCGAGTGCAGTCGTGAAAACTTTTACTATTTTCAATTGGAGTCTGTGATACTGGGGACCGTAGTACCTTAACACCACCTTGGCCTTATATAGGACGTAGTGCGGGAACTATGTGGGAGTAGTCCTACAATAGTTGCTACGCGATACTACACTCAAAAGAGGTTCTCTTGAGAATATTATCGACCTCCGAGTCAGTTGGAAAGTTGATAATATCCGAAGGATGGACTGATGACTTTGGGCACCTCTTTAGAACCTTGTTCTGCAGGTATAACTACCCCATAATACATACCTTTGGGGAAGGGTAGACCTTAACTTCATTCATTGTTCCTCTAACCTAGGACTTTGTTGTTTGTGTGTATTTGTGCATGGCATTCATAAAAAATCATTCCTAGTTTCAAGGAATTCAACAGTCCTTTGCGAATTCAAAAGTCTTATATTTCAAATTTTAAAAATGTTTCCAACTTTCCTAAAAAAGAAATGTTTGCAATCGACCGTTGGAGTTCTTGAAACTATTGCATTGCATTAGCATCATTTTTGCATTGCATCTTTCCCCCGGTTTCTCATTCTCGGTTCTCTCGTCTTCTAGTGTACCTTTGAGTCGTCAAGCTGATTCCTCGACACAGATATCAGACAAGGGCTAACTATAGACATAAGATGTCAGAGCAAGAGACATACAATGCAGAGATCCTAATGGAAATCGATGAGTTGAAGTCAGACATGACTAAGCTCACTGAAATGCTTCAAATATTGATTGCTAGAGGGCAGCCAACTTAGACTCCTCAACACCCAGTTATCAGATAAAACCAGAAATGGAACAGAAGCCACTTTGATCCTATTCCCATGACTTACACCGAGCTATATCTTGACTTGGTTCGACGAGGACTGATCACCATAAAGGCTTCGCCACCTCCTCCTAGTCCTCCTCCGGTTAGGTTCAGGACCGATCTCCATTGTGCTTTTCATGAGGGTGCCCCAGGCCACGATTTGGAGCATTGTTTTGCACTGAAAGCCAGAGTGCGTGAGTTAATTAGGGATGGAATACTTGATTTTGAAGATAATCCTCCAAATATCCAGAAAAATCTGTTGCCAGCACATCAAAAGTGAAGCTTCGGGCTGACCCCAGAGGATGGCTCACTGATTTAATCATTAGGCTTTTGTTTCTCATTGTTTGTATTTTCCTTATTTTATTAGCTGTTTGTTTTCGGACTATGTTTGTACTTTTATATTAATGAACTGAGCATTGCGACTTTTGATTCAATTCATTTTGCCTACTATTTGCATCTTTATGCTTTATTTTTCAAATATTTACTTTTTGTCCAAATTTTTGATATGCCTAGATTGGAGGGAGGATGACGAAAATGTTATATCCATAATTGTTGTCAGTATGCTTTCAATCAAACCTTGTTGACGATGTAAGGCATTGTTTCAA